GTTTAACATGAATACCCCTCTCAGACACAGTATACTGACTCCGAGCCGACCAGTCCTTGTTTTAGCCCCTTAATGCCGAGCGCCAGACAGCGTAACAACAAGTACCATCTTTTAACGTCTTTTGGTATGACGCGGCCGGGGATCGAACCCCGGACCTTCCGCTCTCCGGGCGGACGCTCTACCACTAGACCACGGAGGCGGTCCCGTCACGGATCTGTGGAGTATAACAGCTTATATACATATATTTTATATTATATATTAGCCCTCATGAATTGTAAGCTAATTCTTTGCAAAATACTGTACTTCACACATTTGGCGTTAGGTGTTTTTGAAGCAAAAATCACGCTCTCGGCCATTGGCGGAAATCTCACACGAAATAACGTTTTCGTTATATAATGTTTTCAATTCCCAGTTCGTTTTATTTTGGTACCGATAATATAATTAACTTGTGGAACGCACGGATATGTTGTTTGTTTGATTGTTTGTTTATTGTTTGTTCGACCTCAGCAATATTCCAGCTATATGAGCGGTCTGTAAATAATCGAGTCTGGACCAGACAATCCAGTGATTGATATCATGAGCATAGATCCACGCAATTGGCATACCATGACATACATCAACCAAGTCACCCGATACCGCTTGTCGCCCCTTACGACAAGCGTGGGTTGCTGAAGACCTATTCTATCTCGGAAATTCACGGGTGGTTCAGAGATGTACAACCCAGTCGTATTAAGTACTGCGAACGGCGATTGGCTAGAACAAGTAATCAGCTTATTTCGAAAGGATGTATGGTTTCTTTTAGAAACAGTCTGAGTAGAGTCAGTACCCTTTTAATACAGTCTGGGTAGAGTCAGTACCCTTTTAATACAGTCTGGGTAGAGTCAATCCCCTTTTAATACAGTCTGGGTAGAGTCAGTACCCTTTTAATACAGTCTGGGTAGAGTCAATCCCCTTTTAATACAGTCTGGGTAGAGTCACCCCCCTTTGTAATACAGTCTGGGTATAGTCAGTCCCCTTTGTAATACAGTCTAGGTGGAGTCAGTCCCCTTTGTAATACAGTGTCGGTAGAGTCAGCCCCCTTTGTAATACAGTCTGGGTAGAGTCAGCCCCTTTGTAATACAGTCTGGGTCGAGTCAAAACTCCTTTTAATACAGTCTGGGTAGAGTCAGCACCCATTTTAATACAGTCTGGGTAGAGTCAGTCCCCTTTGTAATACAGTCTGGGTAGAGTCAATCCCCTTTTAATACAGTCTGGGTAGAGTCACCCCCCTTTGTAATACAGTCTGGGAAGAGTCACCCCGCTTTGTAATACAGTCTGGGTAGAGTCACCCCCTTTTTAATACAGTCTGGGTAGAGTCAGTCCCCTTTGTAATACAGTCTGGGTAGAGTCAGTCCCCTTTGTAATACAGTCTGGGTAGAGTCAGCCCCCTTTGTAATACAGTCTGGGTAGAGTCACCCCCTTTTTAATACAGTCTGGGTAGAGTCAGCCCCCTTTGTAATACAGTCTGGGTAGAGTCATCCCGCTTTGTAATACAGTCTGGGTAGAGTCAGCCCCCTTTGTAATACAGTCTGGGTAGAGTCAGTCCCCTTTGTAATACAGTCTGGGTAGAGTCAGCCCCCTTTGTAATACAGTCTGGGTAGAGTCAGCCCCCTTTTTAATACAGTGTTGGTAGAGTCAGCACCCCTTTGTAATACACTCTGTTTGATACAAATGCAAGTGATACGAGAGGTGGAATCTGATTGGTCCATAGGAGAGGCTTAGTCGATCCCCTTTTGTAAGACACAGGGTCAAGAGAGAGGAGGCCTCCGTTCAAATGTATAACGTCTTATCCCAAGGTGCAAAGACAGTAGCCAAACATACGCCAATCGTGTATTTCCGGAGAAAGCGGACACTCACGGAAATGGGCGAGAGGAAATGAGCACAGCAATTTGCATTCGTGACCAATTCGTGTTATTCCGGGATTTCCGAATAGCGACGTCACGGAAAGGGACGAGTGGTGACGAATGAGCAATTTGACCATTAGCAAATTACAATTCGCAAACACTCTCACATTTCGCCTTCTTTGTATAAACAATGACAAGACAGTAAACGAAAGCTTGTGATAAACGGACAGTCCAAGTGTTCCTAGAATTGTTTGCACTCACACTTACATATAAACGCAAATTTCGCCGATACTTATTTGCTCTTGTATAGCATTTGTATGTTAACTTGCAATCCGACCCTTCAGACGTGCGGTTTCTTTACACAGACATGTCTTGTCACTGGCTAAACCTACTTTATAGACAGTAATTCAACACTGAAGAACGAGCAGTCATGCGCGTCCTGTGCGCAACATACTGTCTAGGAAATCTTTTATTACACAACACACGTTTCACCTCAATAAAAAACAAATAATTGTCCTGATGCTGATTTCATAGCTAGCTAGAGCTGGCTAAACCGGTTTATTTGTTTGTTTGTTTGTTTGTTTGTTTGTTTGCACACCGGTTAGCAGTACTATAGAAGATCCCACACACAGTTATCACGTGATGTAAATTGTTTCAACAGGCAGAAACCGAAAAAAAAGTATTTTTATTTTAATCGACACACGCATGCACGTTGCATAAACCAGACACATTAAGGTATGTTTTTCATGACTGTGGCATATCGACGTCGCCATATATAGATAACACATTGGGGCTTTAGAGTACATGTATATGTGTTACTAAATATATAAAAAGATTATAGGTAAGCACTGTCACGAACCAAATCACCGATATAGGAATTTACTAATCATGGAATATTTTTCAAATACAGACAAGGCCCGGTGTATACTCTGTGAACAGTGAATTTAGATGGTGTTTATTTGTGTGGTCAGTTCGTGTTTATTTGTATGAAGAGTGGATACAGATGTAGTTTATTTGTGTGAACAGTGAATTTAGATGTTAATTTATGTGAATAGTGAATGTAGATGGTGTTTACTTGTGTGAACAGTGAATATAGATGTGTTCATTTGTGTGAACAGTGAATGTAGATGGTTCTTATTTATGTGAACAGTGAATGTAGATGGTTTTTATTTATGTGAACAGTGAATATAGATGTTTTTTTATTTATGTGAACAGTGAATGTAGATGTTTTTTTTATTTATGTGAACAGTGAATGTAGATGTTTTTTATTTATGTGAACAGTGAATGTGGATGTTAATTTATGTGAACAGTGAATATAGGTGTGTATATTTGTTTGAACAGTGATTGTAGATGGCGTTTATTTATGTGAACAGTGAATGTAGATGGTGTTTACTTGTATGAACAATGAATATAGATGTGTTTATTTGCGTGAACAGTGAATGTAGATGTGTTTATTTATGTGAACAGTGAATATAGATGTTAATTTGCGTGAACAGTGAATGTAGATGGTGTTAATTTGTGTGAACAGTGAATAAAGATGTGTTCATTTGTGTGAACAGTGAATGTAGATGGTTTTTATTTATGTGAACAGTGAATGTAGATGGTTCTTATTTATGTGAACAGTGAATGTAGATGGTTTTTATTTATGTGAACAGTGAATGTGGATGTTAATTTATGTGAACAGTGAATATAGGTGTGTATATTTGTGTAAACAGTGATTGTAGATGGTGTTTATTTATGTGAACACTGAATGTAGATGGTGTTTACTTGTATGAACAATGAATATAGATGTGTTTATTTGCGTGAACAGTGAATGTAGATGTGTTTATTTATGTGAACAGTGAATATAGATGTTAATTTGTGTGAACAGTGAATGTAGATGGTGTTAATTTGTGTGAACAGTGAATAAAGATGTGTTCATTTGTGTGAACAGTGAATGTAGATGGTTTTTATTTATGTGAACAGTGAATGTGGATGTTAATTTATGTGAACAGTGAATATAGGTGTGTATATTTGTGTAAACAGTGATTGTAGATGGTGTTTATTTATGTGAACACTGAATGTAGATGGTGTTTACTTGTATGAACAATGAATATAGATGTGTTTATTTGCGTGAACAGTGAATGTAGATGTGTTTATTTATGTGAACAGTGAATATAGATGTTAATTTATGTGAACAGTGAATGTAGATGGTGTTAATTTGTGTGAACAGTGAATGTAGATGGTGTTTATTTGTTTGAACAGTGCATGTAGATTTTGTTTTTTATGTGAACAGTGAATAAAAAAGTGTTTATTTGTGTGAACAGTGAATGTAGATGTGTTTATTTTGTGAATAGTGTCTACAAATGTGTTTATTTGTGTGAACAGCGAATATAGATGTGTTTACTTGTATGAACAGTGAATGTAGATGTTTATATATGTGAACAGTGTGTGTTCGGTATTTTGTTTATCTGTACACTATGTGCAGGGCGTGTGTTTGTACACAGACCATGTAACTCATAATAATAACAACAAACAAACACACAGACGAGGCTGAGTTTGTTATTATTATTCGTTACATTATTTGTGTGAACAGTGCGTTTTATTAGTCTGTAAAATGCACATACATTCTGCGCTCACGTGCTCAATGTGTTGTTATCTGTGTGAACAGTGAACGATGTTTACCTCTATATATCCGGGACAATCCGGTCTCCACCAACCCATGCAAGTCGTAAGAGGCGACTAGCGGGATCGGGTGATCAGTCTCGCCGCCTTATTGCGTCAATAACTGGATTATCTGGTCCAAACTCGATTATTTACAGACCGCCTTCAAATAGCGGGCATAATGCTGAGTGCGGCGTTAAAAAACAAACAAAACAAAAAACATATACATACCCGAATGAAATACATCACCATCGAATAACTATTTCTTGTTTATTGAGTGTAGTTTATATTCTTACATGCAGACTAAAATGACGCGACAAACTGACCCGGGACCATCTGCCGAACAACAGAATTCACAACCGACGACCCACACAAGCATACTTAAACACATACAACCTGCACACGCAAATGTGTGCTAATCATACAAGAAAACATTGATTAATTTGACACATGATTTGAAATAAATCAACTTACCTAAGACGGTAATAAAGGCTCCAAGAAATAGATGTACAGCCATTCTGATTAAGTAAATACCCCAATGTCACCCAAACCAAGATGAGGTATGCGACCCGCTAGTGCAGCGTGACATTCACTGGCTCGTTGTGTGTGTGTGTGCGTGACTACTTCTGTTGAAGACTGGCTTGTAACTGCGTACTTCCTCAATCTCTGCCAAAACACCGGTAGCCATATTTATATACACAATCAGGCTGAACTCTCAGGGCGGTAAGTTAAGGGATGGAGATATTGTTATCTCATTCATTACATGCATCGAAAATAATCGACGTTGAGGTTATTCCGGTTATAACGAAGACGAATAAAAAAACCCCGACTATTCGGTTATAACGCAATCGGTTATAACGAATAGTTGGTTATAATGGAATCGGTTAAAACGAATAGTCACTTGTAATGGAGTCGTTGTAAGGAATAGTCGGTTATCATGGAAACGGTTATAACAAATTCGGTTATAATGGAAACGGTTGCAATAAATAGTCAGTTACATGGGAAATGGTTACAGTGAATAGTCAGTTACAATGGACACGTTTATAACAAATAGTCGGTTATAACAAATAGTCGGTTATAACTGAAAGGGTTATTACGAATAGTCGGTTATAACGAGTAGTCGGTTATGACAAATAGTCGGCTATAACCGTCGTGAACCACACAAATCTGCATCACGTTGTGCTGTCCTCCTCCGTTAAGCTGATAAGCCGTGTTGAACCCAAATCAATCACTCACCAACATCAAAGTAGTACTATTATACCATGAAGGAAAATGTTTGGTTTGTAAACAATTATAAGAACAATCCATCCATTAATTCGTCGGTTCAATCATTCATTCGTTTCGTCTTTCTACTTTCAACAGTTTATGATGCTTGTTTCGTTGTGTTGTTTAACCCCGCACTCAGCAATATTCCACTTATATAACGCGGGCCTGTAAATAATCGAGTCTGGTCCAGACAAACCGGTTATCAATGTAATGTCGTTTGTTTGTTTGTTTGTTTGTTTGTTTGTTGTTTAACGCCGCACTCAGCAATATTCCACTTATATGACGTCAGCCTGTAAATAGTCGAGTCTGGTCCAGGCAAACCGGTCATCAATGTAATGTTGTTTATTTGTTTGTTGTTTAACGCCGCACTCAGCAATATATTCCAGTTGTATGACGCCAACCTATAAAAAGTCGAGTCTGGTCCAGGCAAACCGGTTATTAATGTAATGTTGTTTTTTTGTTTGTTTGTTGTTTAACGGCGCACTCAGCGATATATGACGGCGGTCTGTAAATGATCGAGTCTGGACCAGACAATCCAGTGATTGACATCCTGAGCACCTATCTACGAAATTGGGTTATGATGGCATGCATCAACCAAGTCAGCCAGCCTGACCACTTGATCCCGTTAGTCGCCTCTTCCGACAAGCATAGTCGCCTGTGACGGCAAGTATGGGTTGCTGAAGGCCTTTTCTACCCGGATCTTCACGAGTGAGCAACGATCCACGCCGTCACCGACCCTGGCCACCCGATCCATTAAGTCGCTCCTTACGACAAGCAGGGGTTAGTGTGGGCCTATTGTACCCCTGAATCCCAACGAGGTCGAGGATAATGAACAAACACCCAGAAAATATATCCCCGTGTTTTCCTTGCGTGCAAACGTGATGTCTTCAAAATGATGAAGAATTTGGAAAATTCAAACAAAGGAGATGTGTTCTAATTATCTCAGGTCAAAGGAACAACATGTCAAGATAAGTACGATCTTACGTAAAACTTTCCACACGCCCCGGGCCAGCCCAGCTATCAGGAACCTCCCTCTCTCCGAGACACTGCTCGGGGCGGCCACATACCATCTGCTATGTCTGACATCGTTGAATCAGCATAAAACAGTCTCTCCAGACTTTTTTAGTCCCAGAATTAAAGTTATCGTATTTGAATATATATATATATATATATATATATATATATATATATATATATATATATATATATATATATATATATCTAATGGATTTTATTTTAATCCCAAAGGAGCCCAGAACAATGCCTCGACCTGAGGCAATCTAGACTTGCCCAATCATTTTGGACCTGAGTTGGACTTTTTTAATTTATTCTCTAGGGTCCGGGCCTACAGCCTACGTTAGTCTTACATCAAGACCCTGAAATGGAAATATTTTACAGAAAAAAACACTTGTTAGATAATATTAATAAAATACAATAAAAAGGAGCCCAGAGACCTTCATTTCCTGAAACCGCAGGTGTCTAGACTTGCCAGCTATTATAGACTTTAATATAAGTCTTTGAATGGCATTTAGAAACGATACACATAAAAGTGACAATTTATGAATGTCAACTTCTTTATTGTGAGGTACACAACGTCTCGGAGTATATGCTTATTTCTGCATCGGGTGAATGAATGCTAGGATGCAGAGAGCATATACATGTATATGTACATGTAAAAACTTAGCACTGATTGTATGTTTTGTTTGTTGTTTAACGCAGCTATATGACGGCGGTCTGTAAATAATCGAGTTTGGACAAGACAATCCAGTGGCATCATGAGCATCGATCCATGCAATTGGGATACGATGACATGTATCAACCAAGTCAGCGAGCCTGACCGCCCGATCCCGTTAGTCGCCTCTTTTGGCAAGCATGGGTTGCTGAAGCCCTATTCTACCCCGGATCTTCACGGGGGACTGATTGTATGCATAAACATAAAGTTGTAAGTGGGCTGGTCAAAAAGTTCTAAGCCTGACTAACTTTCAACGATGGGCCATAACAAAATGAACAAGTCAATGTAGTACAATGTTTGAGTAGTTTATTGCAAGTGTATTTGGTCTGGTGAGTCCGTTTGTATAAAAGTGACAACCAGTTGAACGTGATAGGGGTCCAAATGGTCACATAAATTGGACAAGGACGAGTATCAAGTTTTTGACTTAAGAGAAAAGAACAACCCCAAATGGTATGATCCCTGTTGATTACTTAGAAAGTCAAAAGACGATTACCGGTGCCTACGAAAGCGATTTCCTTCATCCCCTGAGAGATTCTATCAAAGAAAAGCGGCGAGGAAAACTGACTATTGGAGTTCTACTACTTCATGACAGTGCCTCTTCTCACTGCACTCAACTTACAAAGGGTGCTGTGCGACAATGTGGGTTCGAAGAGCTTCCTCACCTTCCATACTCGCCAGACCCGGCACCAAGTGAATTCCACCTGTTTCCAAAACTAAAAGAACACCTTCGTGGAAAACACTATGACGACAACGATGACCTCAAAGCTGAAGTGAATGCTTTTTTGGGGGTGGCTTCAGAAAACTTCTTACTGACTGGAATTGAAAAGCTTCACTATCGATTAAAGTGAGAAGTGTATTAAAAGGCAGGGAGATTGTGTTGAAAAAAACAAACAAAAAACACTTCCACAATTGTTAGTTTTGTTTGTTAGGGTTAGAGCCTTTTGACCAGCCCTCATATATATATATATTTTAACAAAGAACAAGTGCCTTTATGTTTGATTGATTTGATGTATAGAACAGAGGCGTGTGCGTGAGTGAATGTTATATTTACGCCGCAGGGGTAGTCGAGGCTTGACGAGACAAACCAGCAGGGTCAACCATACACATCTCAGACGATGGGAATATATTTTTGAACAAAATAATTTGTTCCAGAAAATACTTGAAAAAAATATTTGGCTTCAGTCTTTTACAAAAAAAGATTGTCAACTGGACATGTTAGAATGTCCTAAAACAAATGTGTTGTTGAAAAAATATAATTGTTCGTCTCTTCCCGACAGACACATATGTGTTATCTCTTGGGGCAGTGGTCGAAGAGAAGACCAGTATATTAAATGTCGGTCCCTAAGCCTTGTGGGGAGTCAAACCTGGGCCTTCGACATGACGAGCAAGCACTTTTCCCACAACCCGAATGTACAAAGCGGTCTGTTATCAGTAACGTAGCAATTACCACAGTCTACGTGGAAATTATTACCACTAAAAATAAACCTCATTTAACCAGAGTTGCGTTAACCTTAATCTTCTGGAATAACGAGTTTCCGGGACCAATACCCCTGGCAGTCGCTAAGGAACTTTTTCTATTACATAATTAAACTTCAAAGTAGAATTTCTATATCATAATCATACATCAATGATGATATTAAAAAAGGAATCCACATGTAGACCTAGAGTGAGTGGGTATGGTTTGACGCCGCTTTTATAAATATTCCAGCAACATCACGGCGGGGGACACCAGAAATGGGCTTCACACATTGCACCCATGTCGGGAATCGAACCCGGGTCTTCGGTGTGACGAGCGAACGCTTTAACCTCTAGGCTACCCGACCGCCCCATAAAGACCTAGAAATCACGAAGCAAGACAGAACAAGATGATATTTAGATTGTACCAACTTCTTCAGACACCTTCCAGTTAACTGCGCCCTCGGTTATGGGATTTCGGTATTATAGGCACACACCCTTTTTTCGAAAATCCTAAATCAGCGTCTCTGTTAAGCCTAGCTTTACGGTATGAATGCTGGTTCCAGACTTTTTCAATTTCAGTCGCGACATCGAATTCTCGAACTCAAGACCTCGCCGGAAGTATACATGAAACGATAGTTTTATTTTCAAAGTTATCAAAGGCTATTTTAGAAAACATGAAGAAATAGGACACGTTGCGTCCTGCTGTAATCGCACTAATTACCGTGAATAACGACATGCACACGTGGAGGAGACGTGCCAGTCTGACACACACACACGTTGAGGAGACGTGCCAGTCTGACACACACGTTGAGGAGACGTGCCAGTCTCACATACACACGTGGAGGAGACGTGCCAGTCTGACATGCACACGTGGAGGAGACGTGCCAGTCTGACATACACACGTGGAGGAGACGTGCCAGTCTGACACACACACGTGGAGGAGACGTGTCAGTCTGACATACACACGTGTGGGGACATACACACGTGGAGGAGACGTGCCAGTCTGACATACACACGTGGAGGAGACGTGTCAGTCTGACATACACACGTGGAGGGACATACACACGTGGAGGAGACGTGCCAGTCTGACACACACACGTGGAGGAGACGTGTCAGTCTGACATACACACGTGGAGGTCACGTCCCAGTCTGACATACACACGTGGGGGATACGTGCCAATCTGACATACACACGTGGAGGAGACCTTCCAGTCTGACACACACACGTGGAGAAGACGTACCCGTCTGACATACACACTTGGAGGAGACGTGCCAGTCTGACAT